AACATATTTACAATATTCTTATAAATATAGCTTAAAATTTTAAGCTCAGATTTTTTTTTTTCCAAAAAAAAACAAACATGAAAATTGACCTCCACGGTCTGCCTGCCCAGGTATAACTGCCCCCCACTCTGGTAACAGTATCCCAATTTTCCTTTGGGGTGCGAACCTCTACTCTCCCACTTTTTGGCCATATAGTCATGTGGCGTTAATGGCACTGATTGGCTCCAGCAGTGGGCACATGACCTAGACCTGACCAATGAGCAGCTCACATCTCCCTGGCCCACTGACTAATTCAGAGAGAGGCACATGACACCATATCCTGGCCCGGGCCAGCCCAGCCCTAGGACTTTTAATCAAACCACAGGGAAAGACAGGCCCTTTTCCCACAGAAATTATTAAGCTGATAAGATATAAACTGGCATCTCTGTCACGACGTGGTGGAAAGCTGCCTCAGACTGGAGCCAAAAACAGGAAGGCAGAGATGAGAGTTTCTTCCTGTCATTTGATTACCTGGACCCAGCCGTGACCAAGGCCAAACCCCTGGAGCTTTCCTGTTACATGTGCCAAAAAATTCCTTTTTGTTTGTTGGTTTAAGCCAGTCTAAGCTGGGCTTCTGCCATTTCCAACCAAAAATATCCCAACACAACCTATGTGTGCCAAATAGCTAAGATCATTCACGGAAATTTAAGGAGGGGGTAAAAAAAAGCACGGTTGATTCCCGCAGGTTTTTGAAAGCAGCCAAATGTCACCACATCGAATGCCCTTCCATTTTGTGCTGCATGTTACTGCACTGCGATTTAATTTTGAAGAGACAGAGGGAGAGAGAAAGAGAAAGGCTCACTCGCTGATAGGCCTGTGAGTCTGTCTTAAGGTAATTAAATTTCTATATTCACCCATGCGTCCCTCCTTATCTCAGGTTTCTAAGGTTAATCTTCTACATTTTTAATCCTCGTCGCCTGTCCTGGCACCCATTTCCATCAATCTCTCTCCCTCACGGCAGATCACTTCCTCCCCAAGCCACCCTCCGCTGTTCTGACTCTACTGCTTCTACCCTTTAGCCTGTAAGTACACCCACATTTCCTCCACACAGAAATTAAATGAGAGAGTAACAGACTTTAATATACAAAATCGCCCAGGTACACAGGCAGAAGCAATAAGAAAAAAATGAAATAGTGAAAACTATTAATGATGGTTGTCTCTGGTGGTAGGGTAATAGCAGAGTTTTTTCTCGCTTGTAAAAAAAAAAGTACTTTTCTGTACTTTCCAAGTTTTCTTGGTATTCCTTTTATAAGAGAAATAAATATGATAAATATATATATGCATATATATTTTAAAATATGCTTCCTCTTTCAGCAACCAACATCTTTCCGTCACTTAGGGTCAGGCATTAAATGAACCACCACGCACGTTTTCTGGCTCCCGGCTCACGCCCACTTTGACTCACACCACTCACCTGAAACTACGGCCCCCCCAGTGACCAGGGTGGCCAACACGCTGCATCCAATGGCTTCTCTTCTCCCTTTAGCCCCTCTGACCTCCGTGGAATATCAGCCACCCCTTCCCCTGCCTCAAGCTGGAAACTGTCCCGTTACCCTCCGATTTCCTTCTCCTTTCCTTCCCCCTTCAGTCGTTGGACAAACCTCACCAATTCCATTTGCAAGTGCACCTTGACTCCGTCTTCTCTTCTTTCCCCCGGTGACTGTCCTGTCCATGGTCTGACCCTCATGTGGCCTCATCGCCATCACTCCTCTCTGCCTCCACCCCTCCCTCCTATTTATCACCCTAAAACTCAAACATACTCAATTATCCCACCTTAAAATTTCTCAAGACTCTTGAATGCATACAAACTCAAGTTTAATTACTGGCACCAAAGGCCCTTCCCAGGCCAGCCCCAGTCCATCGGCCGCATCCCTGTTCTCTGTGGAAACAGACAGGCTGCCCTGGCTGTCTTGTACCCAGCGCCTCTCTGCTGTCTCCTTCCTGGGCCCTGGGTTGTCATTCTTCCCCTTCTGGCACAAACTCATGCTCAGCCTTCAAGACCCAGACTAGCATTAAATTCTTACTATTTTTTTTAAAAAGAGTGTATTTATTTATTTTTAGAGGGGAAGGGAGGGAGAAAGACAGGGAGAGAATATGTGTGGTTGCCTCTAGAGCACCCCCTACTGGGGACCTGGTCCGCAACCCAGGCGTGTGCCCTGACTGGGAATCAAACCCGCGACCCTTTGGTGCGCACACCGGCACTCAGTCCCCTGAGCCACATCAGCCAGGACCTTAATATTTTAATAATTAGCACTTATCACACCACACTTTAGTCCCCAGTAGACAGTGACCTACTTAAGGGAAGAAATGTCTTATTTGTTATTATCTCCTGGGTTCTTGCTTATGAATAAATAGGAAAGGAGAGAGAAAATAAAAATTGAGGCCTTCCCTAAAAAACTGATTTTTTATTATATATTAAGGGAGAAAGTATAATATTTCTGACGTCTGCAAATAACACAGTTCTTCCAAGAGGCTTTCTGTGGTCTATGGGGCTCGGTGGTTGTCCTGACGGAAGCTCTGCACTCTTCGCACCCGCTGTGTGATTTCAGCTACCCCTTGTGGTTTGGGATCAATGTCTTTAAATTTAAAAAAATGCTTCAACTTTTATAATAAGAAATTTAAATTGCCTTAGTTTCCCAGGTCCTTGTTCATTCACGGCATCACCTAATGTTATAGTCAGATTTATATGTAAATCCATAGCTTCTGCAAAAAAAAAAAAAAAAAAACACACAAAAAACACATGTGTTTGAGTATAACTTTTGTGCATGGAAAAGTAATATTATAACATTCTTTACCTTTTTCCAATTAAATTTTCTGCATTTATTTTTAAAAGGGTCATTTATTCAATAAAATTATATCTTTTTATTATAGGACATACAATGAGCTATATATATAGCCACAGGAAAAATGTGGATATTTCAGGATTTTAAAAAGTAGTTAAATGACATATCACATCCTGAAATAGTTAATTTTGTTGACCAGCGTCCACAAAGCATCACTAAATTTTACTAGAAATTTCCATGATATAAAAGAAAGAGGAAGTCATGGAATCAATCTCTGCTTGAAAAGAATTGCTGGCATTCATTCAATACACATTCATTAAGCACAATATTCAAAGCACAATACTTATAACTATAGGGGACATTAAGATGGGCAAGACATTTCACTTCCCCCAATTTCTTCAGTTTCCACGGGGACAAGACAAGAAGATAAAACAAGTGCAGTATAGACCCAATGCGGTGCATCAGAAGAGACGTCTAAACCGCTATAGAAGTTCAGAGGAGAAAGACACATTCTCTCCAGTTGATTATATCAAATTCTTTTCCAAAAGAATAAGATGGAAGCCCTGAAAAACGGGTAGAATTTTTACAAACAGCATTGGAAAAAATGCCATTCCAGGCAGAGGGCTCAGCCCAGCCGCTCCCCCAGAACAGAGACAGGAGGCGGGAGGTCAGTCTGGGTCCCCGGGAGCCACCTCGCTGAGGGGACCGTCAGCTCCCTCTTGTCCTTGGCCCAGCTCAAGCCCTGGCGGCAGCGTTTCCTTCTACCCGCTGCAGAGTCGGTCAGCTACAGGCTAAAACATAAATAACCTTCCATTCTCAAAGGATTCTGTGCTCAATCCAGTGGGCAATGACAAGTAATTGAAAGCTTTTAAGCAGAGGTCCTAGAAGCACAGGGGTGTGTTTGAAGAAATTAATCCGGCAGCAACATGTAAAAGTGGAAGGGAGAGACTGAGGAAAGACCGGGGCGCTGCAGGGACAGGGCAAAGCTAAGGGTGCTGAACTCTCTGTGGTTAAATGTTTTCATAATAAACGCCAGCAATCTATTCTGCTTCCTTTGTACCTAGAGTTCCATATAAAAATGCACATTTAATTCCCAAGAAACTATACAACCCCATTCTAATCGTCTTTTAATTCTTCCTTGTAATTACAAAATGTCTGTTTTTGGTGTTTGACCACTGACCGCTCCCAAGTCCCGCCATCCCCCTTTCGGCCCATGTCCACGCAAGCTGGGAAGAAAGCCGGGGACACCTTCCGTGGTGCTGGCGGGGACGAGGGAACCATGCCAACCTCGGCCCCGGGCCCAGGAACCTCACCCCACCCCACTCCCTACACCAGTGAAAACCAAAGGCATGCATCCCCTCCTTCACTCAAGCTGAGTGGACCTGTCTCATGCTTCCCCCTCCCTTCCCCGAAAAGCCTCATCATGTGAGTAATAAACCTTTTCATACCCTCTCAGAGTGTGTGGGGCACCCTCCTGACAGAAAACCAATGTGGAGTTAGAGGGGCAGGGATTGATCCCACCTTCCCAAGAAGTAACCACAAATACTCTTAAATAGTGAACTAATGATGCCAAGTCCTTACTCTACTTAGGGGGTAGGGATGCAGAGAAGGGGCATACAGAAGTACTGACAGGGTCCCCGAGTCACAGGAACCTCTTATACGGAGACGCTCTTTCACGGAGTGTCCTGGAGTCTAAAGATCAACTCAGCGTTGGCTGGCTATGCTCAGTGCTCATGTACATTCGCCCACGTACCTAATTATCAACGTTAAACGATTCACTGTGCACTTGGTCAGTGCTCGGCCCCAGCCGCCTCCCCTGGCTAGCTCTAAGACACTGCATGATCACAGGACGTATGGGCTTATGTCACCCACAGTCACTTGCTTTTAACTAGCAGAAATCTCTACAGTAGCTGGGAGGGAAACGCAGAAACTTCCCTTTCCTCGGGGTCTGTGTTAAAGGCCCAGGGCGTTGGAAAGGCTAAAATGAACAGTCACAAATAACCTCATTCTTCAAATAGTACTTGAGTCACAAACCGAACGATAATCTTGATGTGTACATAGCACAGAAAGTATTCCCATGTCTTTTTGACCACGGCTACATATATCTAAAGGTCATAATCATGAAAAACAGTGTGTGCCTCAAAAAGAGTTTAGCGAATTGTAACAGTAGGTACTTACACATCTTTAGCTGCTCCTGCAGAGCCTAGGAAAGAAAAAAGGTAGGTCTGTATTAGTGTGGTAGTATTGCTACAAATATTATAACCCCAATACCCAATTAAAATATTCTACAAGAGACAACGTGAGAAAATGGTGTTTTAAAGGATTATTTCAGGGAAAGGAGGGCAAGACAATCATAAAATTCAAATCTTAAATTTACAATTTATTTTTCCCATTTTTAACAATTCCTACATATTACAAGATGCTGGTCCTGAAGGGGTGTTATGGATCACCTAATCCAATCTTCTCACTTGACAGCTAAAGACTGGAGAAACGTTCTCTTTTCTAAGCCCTTGTAGCTGCGTGGCATTGCTGTCTCACTCTGCAAAGTAAAGCAAGGTCACGAGACAAAAGGCAGGCCATGTCCTCCGTGGATTAGGAAGTGTCAAGGACAACAGCCAAGCTCCACCAGAGGCTACACACACTTATAACCCTGCTCCCATTTCCCACCGAAGCCTCTCATTTCTGCTTCCCACTCATGTGCCAGAAACAACCCCCTCTTCTAGGCCCCGTTCTCCTTACTCAGCACAGATCCCATGCCCACAGCACAGTCCGATCGCCACACTTCCCTGTCCTAATAGCCTTACCTAGCAACATAGAACTTGGTTCCAACTTTACTACATCCGTAGCATCAAGTGTCCTTTAACCCCCTAAAACCTCCCTTCCTTCATGTTAAATGAGGGTAATAAGAGTACCTTTCTCAAAGGTTGTGAAGATATGAAAAGAAAAATACATATAAACACGGCACCAAGTCTGGCCATAAAAATAACTCAGTTGTTATTATTAACAGTCACATTTAACGTGCTATCTCAATTTCCATATCTATGAAATGGAGATTAAAATACTTCTGCACAAGTTCCAGAAATATGAAACTAAAGGAAGATGTGCTACAAAGCAAGCAAGCAAGCCTGCAGGAAAAGTTGTCAAGTTGGCCAGAACTATGCCCCAGTGATACTAATTTAGGACCTGGCATACTGCGAATTCAAAGCACAGCATAAAGATAATCAAGACTATGTCTCAAACAAAGACTTTCAAGGCTTTGACCAAACCTGAATTTTTTAACAAACTTACTCCCTTTCTTCAGAGAAGGGTAATGTTTCTGTGCCACAACTATCAACTCAATTTTAGAAATCAAAACTGCTTTGGAATCTGAAATAAAAACAAAAAAATCCTAAAACTTAAAAAAAAATAAAATAAAAAACACTGCCAACAGTGGAGTATCTGGATAGGAAAAAATGGATTAGTGCCAGCAAAAACCCATGAAAATGGGCATTTTATTTCAAAGTCAAAACAACGGTGGGAATCTGGAAGACAGTCTAGAATGAAAATAATACTCTCATTTTCTCATTTTTATTTTCATGGAAAAGGCCAGGGAACGTTTGAGGGTTTGGTTGTGGTCAGGGGAGGGGAGAACCAGACGTATCCGAAACCCTGATTCTGTGAAGTCTTACAGGGAAAAGAAAGCAGAGATCATAACATGGACCATGAAGTCCATTTAGCAGAGAAGGGCCACCTAACACAATCCACAGGACAGCAGAGGGGACAGAAGCCACCTCACTGCCCCTCAGGGACGGCAGCAGGGTCGTAGGAAAAGAACACCATGGAAAAGGAAGGCAGAAGCCCTCAGCCAAGGCCTTGTTCCACTATCTGTCTGGTAGCCAATCAATTGCTGTGCTTCAGTCTGCAACACTGAGCAGCCGATAAAGGTGCCAAGAAGACAAAGCATGATAATGTGTGTGAAATTAGTTTCCAAACAGCACCGTGTGGTCTGATCAGTAATCATTTCAATCAGCCACCAGGAACCTTCCACCTAGCTCTCCTAGACTGGACCAGGCTGCGGGCACCCACGGGACCTCTTCTCCCTTGGGTTTACCATTTAACTTTCTGGGCCCAAGTTTCCTTCCAAAAGGAAGTCAGAGATCATTTCTTTGTTCTCAAATGTCCCTTGTTTATGTCATCGACTATTTAATAATGGCAGGGAGAGCAAAGAAGTCTGAAATACTACATCATGTGCATTCATATGATTGTTACATGTGCTCTGTTTTTTTAAAGGGACGAATATGCGTCTTTGAAGCAAGGTAACATGGTATTAATGGTAAGTTTACAAGAACAAGTAGAACATGACTCCCTAACACACAACTTCTCAGAATAAATTTTTTAAAACTTGCAGTTGTTGGAAACCCTCGGAGAGACTCTCAGAATATCTAAGAATATAAATGTGAAACATCTTTGTTCAGCAATAAAATTATTATACACAGAAGAAAAAAATATCATTACCCACACTGTAATATTTTAATCACACTTCACCTAAATATTGATCCTAATTAACCAGATGGAGGTCTCTAATTTATGCAAAAAAAAAAAACTTTGATTAGAACTATTCAGATAGTGGCAAAACCCAATTTGCATTAAACTGTGTTTATGGTTCACATGATGTGTCATTTATTAAACAAGTATTTACAGTGGTCTGCTAACGTCTTTCCAGGCTCCCGGGACAGAGCCATCCTCCCCGTTAGCACCACTTCATTTCCTGCCAAAATGCCTCTTTACTTTTTAAATATAGCCGTGGTATATTAGCATAATGGCCTTAGGAGAAAACAGAGATGCAAAGAGATAACAATGACTTTTGTGGAATAAAACACCACAAAATATACAGGCCCGTTAGACTTTTTGTGGGTCAATAGACTTAATGACTATTTTCCAACTGTATAAATGATCATCATAATTTTAAATATCTTCCTAAAGAAACAGAAGAGGGGGAGGTTTGTTTTCATAAAAGTACCACATGCAGTTATAGCAACAAAAAGTAATTGCAAATTGTTCGGGTCTGCAAGGAAGAACATTTCCTTCTGAAAATAAAGAAGCATTGTTTCTTTAACAAGTAGTAAACATTCTTGGTTGTTCACAATATCACCATTTCACCATGATGGTGTATACTTTTTCCTTTATACACTTCAAAAGATTTTAATATTTTATTCATTAGTCTCAAATCTCAGTTACTTGAACACGCATAGCAAATCGAATATATTCAAACGTTCAAAGAATTTAATCTGAAATTGTGAAATCATACAAAGATATTTAGTTTTTATCCGCCATTCCTGTCTCAGAGCTTCTAAAGCTTTTGGAATTTCCTGAATGATAAAGGTGGTAGGAGCCTTTTCCCCTCTAATGAGGTGACTCTTGGCAAGACCACAAATGCTTCAGGACAGGGGCGGGGCATCAGAAAAGCCAACGCTTGACTGGACGCGTGGTGCTTTCCGCCCCTCTCGCCAGCCTCCAGGGAGGAGGGAGGGGCTAAAGCCTGAATTAATCACCAGTGGCCACTGATTTAATCAGCTGTGCCTACCTTGTAAAACTTACAGAACCACCACCAAACGATGGGGTTCGGATTGCTTCTGAGTTGGCAAACACACCCATGTGCCAGGAGGGGGCGCATCCCAACTCCACGGACAGTGACTCCGGCGCTCAGGACCCTCCCAGACCTCTCCCTCCTTACTTCTCCAGCTGGGTGCCTGGGTGTGTCCTTTACAGCATGCCGGTGAATTTAAACGGGAAAGCGAAATACCTTTCTGAGGTCAGGGAGCCTTTCTAACAAAGTACGAAATCTGAGGAAGGGGAATGTGTAAACTCCCCAAAATATCACATAACCTGGGGACCCAATACTTGTGGCTGGTGTCTGAAATATGGGCATCTTGTGGCACTGGGCCCTTCAACCTGCAGCAACTGGCACTGCACGCAGTTAGTGTTGGACATGAAGTGAGTTGTAGAACACCCACCAGCTGGTGTAGGAGAAGTGGAGAACTGGATGGTAAGACAGGAGGGAAAAAACCTATCACATGTTCTTTGTGTTTTATAACAATTTGGTATCCGAATAAATGGGGTTCTCAACAACCTTGATGTGCCTTAGGAATCACACCATATTTTTCCATGTATAATGCACACTTTTTTGCCCAAAATCTTTTGAGGGAAAAATAAGGATGTGCATTATACATGGGTAAAATGATTACATACCATGGGTATAATAATCCCATGTATAACGTGCACAGAAACATGGGTGTGTGTGTTATACACAGCAAAATACGGTACTTCAACAAATAATTATTACATTCCAGGTATGGAGTTATTTTTTTTTTAACACTATTTTCTTATTTTCTAACTTTGTCCCATTCCCAAACAACTGCACAAAAACCTCCTGTGTTAACCTGTGGTCGCTGTAACATATCACCACAAACTGGGGGGTGATTAGTTCTGCTCTCAGAGTTCTGGCGGCCAGAAGCACAAGACAAGGGGGTCAGCAGGTTCCCCCCGCCTCCCCCAAAGCTCCAGGGAAGCAACCGGCTGCGCACGCCTCTCAGCGCCCGTGGCAGTGAGCATTCCCGGCTTAGGTCCCTCACTCTGCTCCTTCTCGCCCACCTTCTCCTCCCTGTGCCTCTGTCTCCTATTCCGTTTCTCATAAGAACACCTATCATTGGATTTCAGGCCTATCCAGATCATCTAGGATGACCTCCTCCTCTCAGTATCTTTAGCTGAATTATATCGCAAAGGCTTTTTTTGCACATAAGATAACATCCACACATTCCAGGATTAGGACATGGATATAACCTTTTAGAGGTTATTAGTCAGCCTACTGCATCTTCTCATCCCTGATCATAACGTATCACACCTTCCACCAATACAAACAAAATTTTATTCCTAGTGAATGATAAAGCAAGCCAGCTGCAAGATACTAAGTCTGTTCAATAGTTTTATTTTGATTCCTGTAGACAGCTGTCCCTTTTCAGTCTAATCAATCTTGTACGTTAAGCAGAGTGAGACATACTTCCCAGTATGTTTTTAATATTTTTCAGATTCATATACTTATTGTTATGAGTGCCTCACGCATGCCAAGTTCTAATATGAAGAAAATATTAATCTTTTTTAAAGAAATATATACACTTCTGCATTTGAAAAAATAGCCTATTAATACCTTTTTTCATCATTACTCTA